CCTTAATTTGTGTAATCCGAAAAGCGTGAATCAGGTCCACAGAGTTTTCCCTTTTTTAGGCAAAAACTTCAACATTTTCAGAAAATAAGGTGCCACAGCCAAGCCACAGCTTTATTTCTAAGTATTACTTTACCACAAGTAAGAATTCTGTAATGATAGTTTAGGTAAGGTTTTATATAAATAAATAAATAATAAATAAATAAATTCAATAAGCTCGAAAAGCATATAATGAGATGAAAATGAAAAGACCGTTTTAATAAAAATATCAAAAGAAAGTTAACAAAACTGTTTTACGTAAAATTTTATCTAAACCTTAAATATCGTCTAACTCCATTTTTGCCGGTGTATAAATTGTGTCACGCGATAATAATATTGACATGAATTTATTTATGAACTAGGTATACATAGACAAGGCCATGTGCGGTATCTTGCTTCACGACATTCATAGGACTTTAACCTAACTATGACTATTTTGTTTTCCTTTAGTTTTTGGCAATACATATACGTGGAAAAAGAAAAAAATGGAACAAAAAGGCCCAATTGACGTAATATAATATTGTTAACGTTTTTGTAGTATTTTTTTATTTAGAGTATTGTGCTTTTTGTCCTAGAGTGTAACTAACTTAGGTACTAATGTACCTCCCTAGATAAGTAAATACTTAGGTACTTATTTTATAATTAAAATTAGTAAGTATTTACCTATAATTATTGTCATCCTTTTTTTTAGAGTCGGCGGATTTTATTACAAAAGCAGTAACACACGATACTATTTTCTTCTTCTTCTTCTACGCCGTATCTATCACTGTTGACAGAATGGTCGTGGTTAACAAACTCAAACTCAAACTCTTTATTTGCATGTTAAGGTAATACATACAGGTCTTATGAAATAACAGGCACAGCTTAACGGCCTTTTTCAGGCGTTGCAAATTTTAGGGGTGTCACCAGCTTACTATAAATTACATTTTGGTTAACATATTACTCAAGGTATATAATATATTAGTGGGTAAGTGCAAAATGTAAGTGGGTATTCTTAAAATGTATAGTATATTGTATATACATAGAATATTTATATTTAAAATGTATAGTATGTTGGTGTGTGCTTGTGGGTGTATGTATGGGGTAGGTTTAACATTTAATTTTGGTGTTATGTTTTTCTTCGAAGAATTCTTTTGTCGAGTAAAAGCATTTTTGTATTAGGAACTTTTTTAATTTTCTTTCAAATATAATTTCTTTAGTTTCGTTTTGTAGGTCTTTAGGTAATCTATTGAATATTTTGACAGCCATGTAGTAAGGACTTTGGTTAAGCATTTTAATTCTAGATGGTGGTAGGTACAGTCTGTTTTTATGTCGGGTATTTACATTATGGGTGTCTTTTACTTTCGTGAAATTATCTTTATTTTTGAATACAAACTTGCATATGTCATAGATATATATGGATGGTAGTGTTAAAAGATTGTATTCAATAAAATAGGGCCTGCAGCTGTCTTGGTTATCTATTTGGGCTATGATTCGTATGCATTTTTTTTGTAATATGAATAGGTCATGAATATTTACACTATCTCCCCATAGCATAATGCCGTATCTCAACCAGGAGTACGCATATGCGAAGTAAGCTGATAGTGCCGTCTCGATATTGGTACTGCATTTAATTTGGAAAAGAGCGTATGTAAATTTTGATAATTTTGATTTTATGTGTTCTATGTGAGCTTTCCAGTTTATGTTCCAGTGAAACATGATGAGTCTGAATCAGTTGCTGCAGCCCGTCTCACGATGTTCCACCATCTCTCTCGACTAGCCGATATTTTAGTGCACGAATGCAAAGGCATGCCCAAAGTGCTGGTCATCACTTCATCACCTTACCATCAGGTGATCCGTGTGCTCGTTTACCTCCTATTCCATAAAAAACACCATATTTCTAATCTTACTTTTTTTCAGTACTTTTAATGTTTAGGTCTCTGCAGCATACAAAAATATGGGAAATAAGAGTGAACGTACAAGCCGAATCTTAGTGATGCTTCAATACTTTCGAATTATGGATTCCTACTTTAAATTTGTATTATATTATTTTAAACGTATCATCAAAAATACAATGAGCTTTAGCTAGGAACCATAGTTGTAACAATTATATTAATAACAATATATTGGGACAATAAAATATTGACAAGCAAGATCTTTAGTAGGCAATAAAACGTGAAATATTGAATATCCTCGTCCACTCAACCGCAAATACTTAGATGGCTAGTTATGTTAAATCTATAAGGTTCTTGAGCGTTAACATTTGTCTAGTCTAGCTTCGAGCTCAGAAACTATTGTAACTACTTAGTTAAAATAGTTTTAGTTGGTTACTGTGTTTTAAAAAACCAAGTGCTTAATAATTACTATTGACACTGTTTATTGGACAAAATAGGTCTAATATATGTAGTTACTACAAAAGAACTAAGAAAGCTTGATCAATGAAAAGTATTCCCTTCGGTCTAGGACCCTCGTTAACCTTATAAATTATGCCTTATATGCCTATGCATAATTATGCACTACGCGTCTACGCATCTATCAGTGGGTATACTTTTATTACATTCTAATCACAAAGGTTGAGTGTGCTCTGGGCATTTTGTTAGCACAGCAGATAACAAGCTGATAGGCCCTCAAATAGATCAGATAAGATTATTTATGATAACACCATGCTATAATAACTCTGCAGACCTAAAATAATATTAGTTTGCGTATCTTCTACAATCTTACCTATTTACACAGAGGTTTTGATGACTATTTATATGCGCTATGATCGTATTCAAGCAGGTTTTCTTTATACAGACATAACCATACCATAATTAAAGTTTTAAACCATCTTAAACTATACGAACAATGCAAACGGCATTTTAGAGGTGTCGTGAGTCGTCGTTAGTCGTGGTTCGTGGTCGTGAGCACTAGTGAGCACTGAGCAGAGCAAAGCAGAGCTGGCAGAGCAGTCGTAAAAAAGTAAAGATGGTATAACTTTTTTACAAGTAGTTTTAAAATTGCCGCTCTAATTTAACACAATGTCTTTTAGGCAACAGTAAACCCTGCCTATATTCTCGTTTTACTAAAAATTATGACTAAACATACGAGCAACCTTCAATAAGTTTAATGCATTTAATACAAAACCTATTCAGCAGGAATTACCATCTAAAGTTTCGAGATTATAAGATAACCAGTTTTTTTTTATATGTCAGACTAGCAGTCCTGTTGGTCCTATTTGGCTGTCTATTGATTAATTAATACCCATATAATATTCTCAATATTACGGTTATTATTGCAATAATTATTTTGTCTCGAATAAACATTAAAAAATAAGTATTTTAATAAAGGTATTTCTAATCTTTTATGAGCATATGTTCCAGTATGTGGAGTTTTACAATACTAATATTCTCATTCTCGTTACAGATAGTGGGGCAAGAGACATTGACAGCGTCGCTGATAAGTTCAGTGACAGTGACGTTCTGGACCAGTGCTGCCAACTACAACGTAATAACTACTTCAAAAATACAAACCTTTGCCTGTTGGCCATTTTGTATTTTTATCTCTACGCACTCGAATATTGAGCGCAAAAGCAGAGTTAACGAAATTAAAACGAAAAACAATAACGGAATAAACTTATTAGGTACGAACTCCATCAAGGAATCTGAACTCGATCTCTTATCGTAGCAGGCATTCCTTATACAGCGCCATAGTGGCGCAGCCAATAAAAAACTTATATTGATTAAATCTCATTCACGCTATGATCCAAAAATATAATATCAATAATATGTCTGATTCTGATTAAAAATCTTGGGATAATGTTTATTAAGTAACTTGGGTAGTCATAAGGATTTAATGAAATCTGCCTCATTTTCCGAGTGGTTGCAAGTGTGACTATTGAGCAAGGGGTCTCGGGTTCGGTTCCCGGGTCGGGCAAAGTATTATTGAGTTTTAAAAAATCTCAGTAATAGCACGAATTCTGGAATTGTGCCCGGTATATGGTATATAAAAATGTCGTGGTGGCCCGGAGGTTTAAGACGCCCACTTCTCATGCATGAGGGTGCGGGTTCGAAACCTACCAACGGCAAGTACCAATGTGACTTTTTCCGAGTTATATGTACTTTCTAAGATTATTTAGACACCACTGACAAACGGTGAAGGAAAAACATCGTGAGGAAACCTGGACTTATAATTTCTAATTATAAGTTTGAAATCGCCAACCCGCATTGAGCAAGCGTGGTGATTAATGCTCTAATCTTCTCCGTGTGAGAAGAGGCTTTGCTCAGCAGTGGGCATTTATAGGCTGTTGATGATGATGATATGGCAAACAGCCTCATCCCCTATTACACATGACTCATAACATAAATAATGGAAAGTAGATTTTGCATTATACAGTAGCATTAAGTGCTATAATGTGTAACTCTGCCTATCCCTTCGGGTATAAAAGGCATGATGTTATGTTAATGAAATCCAACGTAGCCAACATGGATTCAATAATCAAGGTTAATTGATTAAAAAATGGAGCTCATTGTTTACTAAAAGAAGAACCTTATACAAAATATCGAATAAAAATATTTTTAAACAATCAAAATATTATAATAAACGAAATTCCCAAGACGGTTGACGTGTTCAACACTGATATAGTACGCTGAAAACTTATTCATTGTTTTTTTCATTTATTTCAAACTAGCTTTTACCCGCGGCTTCGCTCGCGTCACAAAATGATAAAAAGTAGCCTGTGACATAATAATATACCAATACACACAGCGCCATCTATACCAATACTTTTGTTTTCCCTCGTGGAATAACAAATTTTTTCTGGGATAAAAAGTACCCTATTATTTAATCCGGACTTCTAACTTTACGTCTGCAAAAATTCAAACCAATCGATTTAGTAGTTACGGCGTGAAAGCGGAACAAACAAACAAACTCACTTTCCGATTTATAATATTAGTAAGGATGATATTGTAATTTCGGAAAATCTACTGTATATTTAGAAGAATTCTACCATCCGCTAGATTTCAAACTTGGCAACACTGTTCATGACGCTAAAAAAGGTTACATTATTTTGTTACGAGCTCATTCTTTCATGGGATCTTTGGCTAGCAAAAGCAGCAAAATGACTGTTTCCAAAATGGCGAATGCTCAAGAAATCAGGGAATTTATCAAGCAAGCTATTACTGAGGAAAAAGTTGTCATATTTTCGAAAACCTACTGCCCTTATTGTAAACTGGCTAAGGACGTGAGTAATATTTCTAACATCTTGATTTTCTTGGAAACTTAGTGCCTCAACATTAATTACTTCTATATTTCTCTTTAAGTTTACGATAATTAGCGTCTATTATGCAATGAATACTTAAAGAGTTCTTTCAAATCTTTCAGTACAAAGTCTACCTTCGGTGCAATATCTTATGCCACTTGTTTATCACTTTTATTGACATTAGATTGTGTTTAAACCACCAGAGCAATGACGAATCGTCCATTGTTGTTTGTCCATTTTCATTCTTACGAGTGTCGTTGCCCTCGAAATGAACTATGGGTCCCAAATTTGTTGTTTTCAGAAACCATAGGTTAATTCTAATAGTTCGGACGGCTCAAATGGTATTCGAGAGCGACACAGCGTTACACATAACTCGCAAATTTTTCACGAACTACCTACAGTCTAAAAATCTTGAAGTACCTACTATTATTTTTTGTGCAATTAGTAATGTTGACCTTTTTATTTTGGGCCAACAGTTTGTGTTAACAGGTTCTAATTGGATCTAGTTATTAGATGCCTAACTAATAAACAAATGTCCCATTTTGACTAAAAAAATGGTCATGTTAAGCATGAAGTAAGTAGTGGTTTAACATAGTTGTGACTATTGTTTCCAGGTATTTAACAAAGTGAAGCAACCATTCAAGGTGTATGAGCTGGATGAGCGTGAAGATGAAAGTGATTTCCAGGACAACCTGGCTATACTGAATGGTTTCAGATCTGTAAGTTTCTTTACCTTATTTTATTTGTATTACTCATTAATTTGTTACTCATCAATACTTATTTAGTACCGTTTCAAATGGCTAGTGCTAATTAGGTCTTGGTTTAAAAGTTTAATGTAAGAAACAATATATACATTTTGTTGTTGAGCTTCAAAATAGGGTAGACAGGATATTATGACAACAAGTTCTGCACTGTTGTCTAACATTGTGCAATAACTTATTTGACTGGATAGTGCACTAAAACTATCAAATGTTTATGTATTGATACTGAGTCATTGATTTTAAGACTTGGTTAGTATGAAATAATGTCTAGAATTAGCTGTTGTATTTGAATAACATCACCTTAAAACATGTGAACAGCTCATATAAAACCCGGGACTCGCCTAGTATTGACGGCTAACTCATACTATGTTCTAATATTTGTTAAATTTTTTTATTAATCTGTAATGTCAAGTGTAGATATGCTTTTTCTCTTTTTTACGTAGGGTGGCCGCTATGCTAGTAACTAATCCCATACATAAATATTACACAGCTTAGGAGTGAAATGGGAAGAAATAATGGTTTTGGACATTATTAACATGTTTAGTTATCTTGTGGTTAACTACTTGCATTATTTGTGTGTAGGTATGTACTTATCAATAGTTATCATTTAACCACACAAGGCACTGCATGTTATGAGTTTTTTTTATTCATAACAGACTTCAAATAATACAGAGGTTTTTTATGCTCCTTATTTGCTTTGAGCACAAGAACTTTTTGTATTTTTGTAGGATTGATATAATTTTCATATTGGTTAATGGAATGGTAATTCTAATAATTGTATGCTTAATTTCTATGTATTGAGTTATTCTTGTTACATTTTTAGAGATACCCACATTGGTAATGAATTATTATTAGATAGATTTTTCATATACCACCCGTATATTCATACTCTATATTTTAATTTTAGGTAATATGATATCTCTTATCTTAATTGAATTGTATTCTTTTTATAAGAAATAATATCTTAAATCATAATATATTAAATGGCAACAAAATGTTTTATGACAACATAAGTACATGTAAAACTTTTGTATCTATTTGGGCTCCTTATTGCAGTAGACTTGTATATTTATGTAGCAGTTGATGTTAATGTTGCACCTATACCAATTGCACAAGTTTGTTATATAGATTTTATTAGTCTAATTTTTACTCCACAAACATCTCAATGTTATGGTAGTACTAAAAAAGTTTGGTTATGTTGTTGTTTTGTAGAATATGTGTGTGTGTGTGTGTGTATGTAATTATATTTTTTTTTTCTAATGTTCAAGGTACCTCAAGTGTACATCAATGGCAAGTGCATAGGAGGCGGCACTGACGTCAAGAACTTGTATGAGACTGGCAAGCTGGAGCCCATGCTCATTGGTTAAATTACATCACAAATATTCAGGAAAATAAAAAAGGAATTTATTACTCATAAAAATTTAATATTTAAATATTTGTCAAGTATTTAAATGTTGTAATTGTTATTTGTAATGCTTTTTCAAATAGTACAAGTAATAGTAACTTTCATTATTTAATATTTTTTGTTTTAAATATTGTGCTTATATGAATCTTGTAATGCTAAAAACAGTGTCTATGTAGATACTGTTTTTGAATTTCGTCACCATACTTACCATTCAAGATTGTTTTCATTTTTTACTATATTTTTTACAAATAAAACATTAATTCAATTCCTTCAAGGCTTTTATTGTTATTGTATCGTGCCATCTATTCATTAAAAATGTATTTCAAGTTTTATTTATTAGATCTTATTTCAAGGGAAACAAAGTAATCAAATAAATAATAGCATAGCGCTAAACTCAAGACGACCATATCTTGTATTGCTTTTACAATTATGTAAATGACATTTAAGTCGGTGAGCTTGGTCGTTATGACAAGCGGCGGGGCTACGATCGGGCCGAATTAATTTTAGAGATTCCTCCATAAATCCTTCAGCTAAAGTCACTTGTCCCTCCCTAAGCGCTTTATTACGCACACGGGATGAAAACATCAGGCCTACTCAAGGCCACTACGCGCAGCGTCGGAGGGGACGACCGGCCGCTGAGCCGGGCTCCGTCGTACGTACCAACATTATATCTCCTATGTCATTGATAAAAGCGTCGTTTTTGCGTAACGCGATAGAGTATTGTGACAATTAAGGCGAAGTGTGTGCGAATGAGAGGGAAAAGGCCCACGCTCACCCTTGCGACCCCAGTTGCCGCCGCCCTACAGAGTGCTTCGCGCAGCCGCCGCTAGTCGGCGCTGCGAGCCCGCCCTAGCACAACATGATATTATTATATCTTATTTAGCTAAGATTCATGTAAACAAACTGGATTGTGCTGTGTTTAGTGTTTATAATATATGTTATAAATTGTCCATAATACTAGTTTGTGAGGATTATGTGATTCTTGAACAGTAGGACGGAGAAATCTTAAGGTGAGTTGTATTTATAGACATTTATTTACGTATACCTAGCTATATTCTACCTCCGGGACATCACAAGTCATCGGTAAGATAAATAAAGGAAATTACTTTCTTTGGTTGTTACAATTTTCTGACGTCGTCATCTTAATGTTGCTTATTTTTCTTTTATTCATTATTAAGTTCATAAATTATAAAGTTACTGAGTTTTGAGATACAAATGTGAATGAAATTAGGTTTAAGGTTCAATGTCCTAACAATTTGTAGGCAACGTACCTAGGTAAATAATTTAAAACAATTGTTTATCGTAGATATATCTATCTGCTGCTCAATATAGGTACGTATACAAACCTATATTGTAGTTTTGATTCTTATTAAACTGCTCGTTCATATCAATAAGATTTTCTGGCTCAAGATAGTGTAATATGAGCCGTCGTTTGTTCAGTCGACTCGTTCGAACATTCTTCGTTTTATCGTTGTCGATAACGACAAGTATTCGAAAGTACCTACCTAAGTTAAAGTTTACTTAATTATTTTTCTGTACCTAAATACTAGACCACAACAATACTTAACAATTGTAAATGCACCCATGGACAAACAATATGATAAATACCTAATGCGTGAATCTCCACGTGTTCTAGGGTCGCAACTAGGTCTTTCAACAAAGACATGTACTCATATTTCAACAATAGGAGTCAAGTTTAAATAGATACTTTAGTTTAATAAAAATCTGATTTAGGTATAAGTCTGATAAATGCGACAAGATATAATAACAACTCAATGTAACAACTGCTTACCTCCCCCTTTCCATTCTACCGAAACCTTGCATCCCAACAATCCCCAAAAGACCGGAAATACACTTGTAACGCCTCTGGTGTTCCAGGTGTCCATGGGTGACGCCGATCCCATAAAAAACAACTTCTAAAACCAACTTTTTTTTGTATCATCGTCAACAACAGCAATACGTCCACTTCTGAACATGGCATCTTCTTGAGACGAGATTTGCCATAATTCCTGCGCTTGAATGATGACTTGGAAATAGCAGAAGTATCTGACGAGTGGCCTTTTTTGTGGGGCGATAAATCATCCAATGACTTTTCCAGCCTTGGGTGACGCGAGAGGGAGTGTCAGGCTCTTACTGATTGAAAACCATCCCGTTCCTTCTTCTGCTCTTTAAATCGGAGCCCCGGCTTAGCATCGGCCATCAGCCCTACTGGCCCCATCTGATAATCCCTGCGCTTGGATGATGACTTGGGGAGAGTAGAACTATTTGGCGTTAAGTAGAAATATTACCCATGACAATTTTCCTCACCAAAATCATTATCAACGACATGATCTATATTAAGAAGCGAAAGAGATATGTAAGAATCGTAGTAATTGGCGTTCCTTAGTCTCTGCCTACCCCCATGGGAGACAGGCGTAAAGTTATGTATGTATGTATGATCTACATTATAGTCTGAAGTCAAAAGCTTTACTATTCCAATCTCACGTCATAATTTTAATTATTCCAATATGGTTTAAATCTTAAAAAGGTAATTACTCAATCTATGAATCTAACTTTAGATTTTATTAGGCAAAGAATACGTACAACACGGTATAAAATATTTTTACGAGTTTTATTATAACAACGAAGCCTAAGGTTATGGTTTTCATTACAATTCTAAGACATTAAGTAGATCCCAACGTAATCCTGATCCTTTGATAAAGTTACTTGAACATTTATATATCTAGAGTAGCATTGGATATTTAAGAAAAGTAAGGCTTTTTATAATTTTTATAATAATAATACTAGCTATTGCTCGCGGTTTCGTCCGCGTAGAATATGATTCCTGTTTTACCTCATGGGAGCATTTAAACGTGATAAAAGGTCTATCCTATCACCTAAGTCAGCCCATACCCTACCTGTATAGCAAATTTCATCAAAATCCGTTCAGTAGTTTCAGCGTGATTGACGGACAAACATGGAAACAAAAAAGCTTTCACATTTACAATATTAGTGTGATTAGGGTGTACCTACTGAAGATTCTTATAAAATAAAATAAACACGTTTATATTGACAAACATGTACGAGATACGCGAAACAAAATACGTCTGTTTGAGCAAATATTTCATAATTAAGTTTAACAAAGTAGATGTAATGCTCAAATCGCAAGAGCCTTTATATCTTTGTGAGGCATTATTACAACGGCCCGTAGGAGTTCGGCTCGAGAATTTCAGTGAGCCTGAGTTGAGGGGATGTTTTAGCGGGAAGGGAGACTCGACCGGCTCGAATAAAAGCCGGGCGTCGGACCGGCGCCAGTTCAGAGCGGCTACAGCTCTCGGCTACGGCGTAGCGTCGCGTAGTCCGTGCTACGAAACTTTTTACCCAACTTTCTACGAAGTCATTTTCATATAAGGCTTGAATTTTCGCGGGTGGATCCCATGTGTAGATTGTTTATGTTTCTGACTCATTAATCGTTAGGTAAGATTCATTTAATATTTATTAAAATAGATGCTTTTTAACTTTTATTTTGATTGCACTTCGATACCGTTATACGCACACAAAATTAAACATGCATGTTTTCTATTAAGTAAGTATTTTTCTGCATTGTTAGATACTTATTTATATTTTCAAAAATATATGTAAGTCTTCAAAAACGAAATAGAGGAAGGAATGGAATTAAGGCGAAATGTTCCTTAAATAGATTTTAAATTAAAGAACTGGATTGTAATAACAAGAACAATTTATGATATGTTTTGATTGAACAAATATTGTTTCAAGTTAATATTTAAATTATGTGTATTCTTCAATAAACGTTTTCTGTGTTAGATAATTGAGAGAAGAATAACATTTTTATAAGCGTATTAATATAGTTAATAAAAATGTTAACTTAATAATAAGTATAATAATAAAAGTGTGATCTCGTAATTAATTTAAGTTTTTACAACACTATTTCGACATTGAAGATAACTTACTTGTCAAGCTTAAGGAAGATAGTTAAAAATATGGATGTACCTGAAAATACAGATAAAAATTAGTGATGGGCTTCAAATTTTAGTGTAGGTATCTATTTAGTTCTCTTTCATATTTATTTGGTAACTGTGAAACTTTCATCACCGACTGAAACTTTGTTTAATAACCAAAAATAGACGATAATATATTATCTTATCTCCGAACGAATCGCCCGAGTACTAAAAGGCTAAATTTAAAGTTTTTACTCAAATATCGTGCCATCTCTGTCATTGTACAAAGAATTTGTAGAGACAGAACTATATTTAAGCGCGACCAAAATTGAGTAGCGTTTGAGTGTTTGTACATATATCTGATTATCTCCTTATCTAGATGGATTTATTTTAAGTTGAGCACTTGCTTGTGGTATAGCTTTCACCTTTGTAAAATCGGCAATATTTATCTTTGAAAGATAGTGTTTAATACATAAGCACAACATAATATTAAAGCACTGTGGTCCACTGGCTTATCAAGATTTAAATAACATTTGTGATTTATGGTATATCATGACAATCATAAATCGAGAAATTTTAATTTTAAAAACAATTCACCGAAACATAGGTACCTATTTAAAAGTAAGGACCTGTTTCACAATAACTGGATAGCCGCTATCTACCAGATAAGTTCGAATTAACTCGTCGAGTACCGTCTACACAATTATAGAACAATAGGTTGCGGTCTCCGGTGACCGCAACCTATTGTTCTATAATTGTGTCTACAAAGACTCGACGAGTTAAGAACGTATTTTTATGAACTATCTGTCACATAAGTTTATCAGATACTTATATGGAGGTAGTGAAACCGGCACTTAACCCTTAGAGCGCCACGTCAGTCACCGGTGCCTGACGCTAGTGGAGGTTTGACTTTCACCATTTTAAACTTGGCAGTTAAAGTGTAATCAAAGGCAATATTATAAGTATTGTTTTCACAAAATATAAAAAAAATAGAAGGTAGAACGAAAAAAACACAAAGACATGAAATAAAAACAAACCAACAGCTTT